TTAGCCAAACTCAAATCTTGCAGCCGTTCTTCGTATGTTTTAGTCTCCAGGCCTTGGATCCTCTTAGCTGCTCTTCTCTGAACTTTTTCCAAGGTCTCAACCCCTTTTTTGTAGTGTGGTGACCAAAATTATGTTCAGGGTGTTGGAAAACATGCTGATCCAAATGGGAGGTTTCTTAGGATAGGATTGCAGCTTTTTTTGGGGATGGAAATAAAATCATCCTTCAGCTGCGGTTGCTGGCTTTTTGAAAACCAAGCTGACATGCGTTGAACATGGCTATCTTCTCCAAGGAGCTGAAGTTAGGTTCAACAATCAAACTGAACAAAGAAAAGCCCATTCACACCAGCAAGAATTCACAGGGATAATCCCTTGAATTTTCCCTACCAGAATCCTTGCCTTCTGCAAGCAGACCACAACCAATTTAACCTCTGAATTAGATAGACAACGCTTTCTCTCCTGACCCAGCATTAAACCTAGGCTAGCTTCTTTTATTGTTGTTGTTAGTTGCGAAGTCGTGTCCGACCCATCGCAACCCCATGGACAACGTTCCTCCAGGCCTCCCTGTCCTCTACCATCTTCTGGAGTCCATTTAAGCTCACGCCTCCTGCTTCAGTGACTCCATCCAGCCACCTCCTTCTCTGTCGTCCCCTTCTTCTCTTGCCCTCCATCTTTCCCAGCATTAGGCCCTTCTCCAGTGAGTCCTTCCTTCTCATTAGGTGGCCAAAGTCCTTGAGTTTCAACTTCAGGATCTGGCCTTCTAAAGAGCAGTCGGGGTTGATCTCTTCTAGGACCGACCGGTTTGATCGCCTTGCAGTCCAGGGGACTCGCAGGAGTCTTCTCCAGCACCAGAGTTCAAAGGCCTCCATTCTTTGGCGCTCAGCCTTTCTTATGGTCCAACTTTCACATCCATACATTGCAACTGGGAAAACCATGGCCTTGACTAGACACACTTATGTTGGCAGGGTGATGTCTCTGCTTTTTAGTGTGCTGCCTAGATTAGCCTAGCTTCGACAGCTACAAAAAGCCACTTCAGCTGAATGCACCCCCAAATCCACCCCCCCTGAGGTCCTAAATGGTGAGATTTGAGGTACGTCCAACAGGGTCGCCTTGGCCCGAGAGAAAAACCACAGCTCACAACCAGCCTTGAGCGAATGCGACTGGGTGGAGGAACCAGCCCTGGGAGGGGGGGGGGGAGCCGTCCCTTGCGTGCTGGCTTGCAAAGTGGTTTGCAACTTTTCCTGATGGATATTTTGAGTGTGTGTGTGTGTGGTGGGGGCTAATCTAAACCACCTGGCGGAGGGTGTCGGACTGGAGCATGCTCGCTTCTTGTGACAAACGGAAGAGAAGGAATGCACGGGCGTCCCAGAGAATTTCAAAGCCCTCGGAGATGTTCCACGCCTGGGTTTCCCCAGCCTGTTGTCCGCTTGTTTTTCAAAAAGCAACCCGCCGCAGCTGAAGGATGGATTTATTTTCCGTCGATAAAACAAAACAAAAAACCCAGCTGCAATCTGATCGTAGGAAACCTCCCGTTCGGATCCGGCGTGTTTTCCAACACTCTTAAAAGAATGCAAATTTTGAATGCAAAGACCCGTCCGTGGCTTGGTTCAAATTCCTTTGGGGCCCAGTTTAAGTCCCTACAGAGGCATAATTCTGTCGTTTAGTTTGGAGGCGACCTTCAAGAGGACCTTCGCGGGCTCCAAGATGGCTGAAAAGGCAAGTTGCTAAAGGGACTTACGACCGGTTCTCGCACTTACGACCATCACGGTTGCAGAGTCCCAGGTCAGGCGGTCGATGTTTGCGAATCTTCCCCGCTGGCTTCTGACAAGCAAAGTCAATGGGAGAAGTTGGGTTTGCTTAACGACCGACATAACTGCAGGCATTTGTTTAACAATTGTGGCAAAAAGGTCATCAATCAAGCCAAAGACTCACTTAACCTTGCTTAGCAACGGAGATTCTGCTTGCGATGGTGGCCGTAAATTTGAGGACTATCCATAACGATTTATTCCCTCCACCATTTGTGTGAAACTGAGGCCTCCCTACGCAACGATCTACTGTCCACAAACAACACACTTTTCTAATTTCTCCTCTGTTTCCCTCTCTGCAGTCTCGAATGCCCCCCAAAATAGGAATTTGAAAACTGCATTTGCCATCGTTCAGCAAGGCAATATTTTAAGATCACTCATGCTAACAGTTTCTCCAACGTTCTGACTTTCAGGTCACCCTCCCCCCAAAAAAGATTCTTTTGGATTTAATCTCCTTTTCTACAGCTTTTTTGTTTGTTTGAAAGCCGCTCCGTAAAGATCCTATAAGTGTCTGTCTCTCGTTTTGCTGCTTCTAACTGGTGGTCTGGATTTTTGCCACCCCGATATGCTCAAAATCCCAATCTTTAAAAGCAGGAAATATAATAGCAAGGAGATGGTTGCAGAGTACCACACACAATTCTTTGGTTACCTAATGGCTGCCGATGTAAGTCATTTCTCTTTCTGATTTCCATGCGTTCACTTCCGGTTCCCCTCTGAAAAATCTTTCCCAGACATTTTAGAGACGCGAACTCTTGAAATTATGAATTTGAAACACCGTTATCACAGAATGCTTTGGGGGGGAGAAAAATAGACATTTGGTCCAAGGCAACTGTTGTTGTTTTTTTTTCTCCCCCAAAAGCTAAGCTTACCACGCACAATTCTCGCGTAAAATCCCTCCACATTGTGGTGAACACACCAATGTGTTAATCCGGCCTCTGATCCCATCAAGGCTGATCTCGAGGCTTTGGAATAATATTCTCCAGCTGAAATTAACACTTAGATTGCTCGAATGGGCCGTGAGATTCTTGGATAAATACTCTTTTGCCAAGGAAACAAACATCCTAAAAGCCACAGGGAAATCTTCAAAATGTTTCCTACTTTGAGGGGAAGATTTAAATAGCGAACGACTAAAGAGAGGCGTCTGGATTAAAACAGCATTTAAGTGCTACATAAATAGGCTGGATCCCGGCAGGAGTCGAATCCATCCATTCCCCCATTTTAAAGCTCTACTCCCCAAACCGGTCCTTGGAAGAAGGGCGAAAGACTTCCAAGATGGCGGGTGGTCCACAATCACATCGGCTGACGTCTCAGAGATGCCTTCAGCCAGGGGGTGATGAAGTCCGTCAACGTTGTCTCCAAGAGGTGGACCCGTGGTTGTAGCCTAGCCCGGCCTCCAGAAAGCCTAGGACAAGTTCTCCGGGTGCATCAGATAGGTTTCGTTGTCCTCGCACAAGGCGAGTTGGACGCTGGAGGCGAACCACCGCTTGGCACAGCCCAGCCGGTAGTTGAGGGTGGTCCGGTAAAGGTTTTTGGCCCGTTTGGGGAAAATGATGGTCGTGCTCTGAAACCGGAGGGGCTTCTGACGAGGCTCGAAGAGAAGCTGAGATTTGTAGTTGCGCCAGGTGCAGTTGGGGGCCACCGTGACGGACTCTCGGTAGGCGGTGATGGTGGGCCTGGGGTGGTAGAAGATGTCGTCGCGGTAATGTTTCTCTGAGCTGTACTTGATCTCCGAACTGCACCTGGGAAACGGGAAAGAGAAGGGAAGGAGAGGGGGAAACCTGGTGGGTCCAAGCCGGCATCCATCACAGCTAACCATCAACTGCTAGAACAGCCCTAGTGATGGCTATGGAGATTCTCAACCACCCAAGTCCTGGTTGTCCCAAAGATTGTCCCCCAAAGGCAACTGGAATTCCTTGGTGGTTTTTTTTTTTTCCCCTTGAAAAGTTTTTGCTTCTCATCCAAGAAGCTTCTTCAGTTCTAGCGGAAGATTCCTGAATTCCCCACCGTTCACTCGAACTGAAGAAGCTTCTTGGATGAGAAGCGAAATGTACTCAAGAAAGTCCAGTTGCCTTTTGGAAAAACACATTTGAGACCTCCGGTGACAGCAATAAATGCTTCTCGTTAGATTTGGCCAGCTGTAGCAACCCCAAAATTCCCCTTCTTACTCAACCTTCTGAGAGTCTCTTCAGTTGTTTGTCTGCCCTCAAGGTAGGCCACACCGCTAAACTTCTCTGGCTTGGAACAGCTAACCCTGTTTTTCTGAAGGACTGTGATTTCTGCTTGGCCTTCCATCCAGTTTCTCATCGTCGGCCCCAGGAATGTCCTGGAAAATTGTCTAGGCTGATGTTTCTCGACCTTGGCCTTCAAATATTTTGGGAGTTGAAGACGGCGGACTTTTAACTCCCAAAATGTCCTACAGCGGGGGATACCGGGAGTTGACGTCCATCCATCGTAAAGTTTGCCAAGATTGGAAAATATTGGACTAATAACCCATGTCTAAACCCTAACCAGAAGACATTTGGGAGCACCTGAAGATGGGTGAAGTCCTCAAGGTTGAGAAACATTTTTTTTAAAGAGCTGCTTTGCTCCCCTCTGCCGGATATCTTCATGCTGGGCCCAGAAATCCTTCTGTCGGCCATCTTTCATTTAGATCAGTGGTTCTCAACCTTTTTAATGCCGCGACCCCAACCGGTTGTAAGTCGAGGACTAAACCGGTCGTAAGTCGAGGACTAAACCGGTCGTAAGTCAAGGACTAAACCGGTCGTAAGTCGAGGACTACCCAACCGGTCGTAAGTCGAGGACTTTCCCTGCCCGGGAGCACCGCACATGCGTGGTTCCGCCCCCCTGCGCCGGCCGAGGCGTAGCTGGCAAGCGGCAGAGACGGAGCAGGCCGACCACCAGCTGGCCCAGCCCAAGGGAGGTAAGGCACCCGCCGGAAAAGGGGGAAAAAATGGACAAAAAAAATGGCGGACAGCCTTGCTTGGCGACCCCCATGAAATGGTCGATCGACCCCAAATGGGGTCCCGACCCACAGGTTGAGAACCACTGATTTAGATAGCAATAGCACTTAAGACTTATATACCACTTTACAGGCCTCTCTAAGCGGTTTACGGAGCCGGCCTTTTGCCCCCAACAATCTGGGGTCCTCATTTTACCGACCTCGGAAGGATGGAAGGCCGAGTCCACCTCGAGCCGGTGATCCTCACCTACGCCAAGGGGTCGGGCTTTATGACCTCAAGGGCCCCCTTCCGATTCTAGAATTCCAGGGTTAGCAATTTGGCCAGTTTGACTCTCTTGACAGGGGTGGGGCCAAGCCTGTGAAAGGAGCAAGCTTTTCTGCTCTAAGAAAAACAGCTCTTT